TTCAGCACAGATGTATGAGTGACTGAAGTGTAATATCTTCTATCACTGTTCTGTATACTCTTGAGCTTGATAAGACAGTCATTCAATATTCACAGCTGTGTGCAGAAATCTTCATAAGTCTGATCTTCATCTACACTTATAAGAATCTGTAAGAGTTTGAAAGTTAATGTCTTCTTGAGCATACTAATCTTTATTGAATTCTTTCAAGATTAATCATCTACTTCTAGAATCTTAATGTCAAAGTCAGAGATGAATGTTATAAGAGAAGTATTTCTCTGTCAGATACTCTGTAATCAATCTAACACATTCTGTTGCATGACAGTGTCTCAGAACAGAATATCAAGATATTTGATGATATTATCAGATATTTATAACACTGATTCACATGCTTTCATTCATAAATAAAACTTCTGTTTCATGCAATTCTTCAATTGTTTATTGATATACTAATCTTGATTAGTTAATAAATCAATGACATCTTCATCTACACTCAGTTTCATAAGCATTTTCATTCTTCATGATAAGTAGAGAGTGAGATTAAAAGCATTAAAATTTGCAGAAGTATCTCAGCATTCTTTCAGCACTTTTGTATTCAATTCTGTAGATGTTGAAATTACATGAGTTAATTATTAAATCTCTTCATATTGAAGTTATTAAGTTGCATGTATATCTGCTATCTGTTGCTGTTGTAATTGTAACATTACTCAGAGTCACTGTGATATCACTTCTATACTCACACTTGAGAGTTCTCTCATATTATTATTAGACATGGTTATATCATTTGTCAGATATGTGATATCTGTGAAATCTGAAGAAGTGTAATTGTATTCTCATACATCTGAGTATCAGAACTCTCAGGTCTTTCACTGACATTCTCTTATAAGATCTTACTCTCTTCATAAGATCTTGTTATAAGGTCAGAGTGACTGACAAGCAAGCTTCTATCTGAGAACTCAGTGTCTGCTTAACTGTTTGACTGTTTCTCTATTTCTTACACATTATTATGTGTTCAGATATCTCTTGATAGATAATTGTTTCTAATGAGAAGACAATGAATGTTTTTCTAGTGTAACAGGCCTACACTGAATAGATCAGTATTTATATTAATAGGTCTTATATAATAAAGAGAAAAACATTAGAGAAGGAAAGAAAGAGAAAGTGTGAGAATCAGCAATCAGAGTGAATATTTATACATGTATGTGATGACATATGTGATGGGGTTTCAGGGCGGAAAAATGTATATGCATTCATAGCAGCCGAGGATCGGCGATCGAGAATGGCTGAGAATTGAAGCATATGCATTCATGGCGGCTGAGGATCGGCGATTCAGAATGGCCGAGAATCAGAGCATACGAGTTCAAGAATGGAGCGGTTGGAATCTGTGGAGTGTAACAGAATAGTCTATATGATTGATCAGGCGCAGCCCTTCACAATCATGAACAACTGAGAGAACAGTGTCAATTGCAGAACATTGTTTTCTACCTCTCATTTATTTACTGAATAAAAGAGAATTATTAATAGAGCTTATAAAAGATAGTTGAGTAGCTATTATCTTTTCTAAAACCTTTCCTAGACAGTTCGATAGAGACATTACTCTATATGACTTAGAAATTGAAATTTTTCTATTAGGTTTTGCAAGAATCACTTCAGTGGCTTCTCTTCAATCAGCAGTTATACATTCTTCTGAACTACATTCTTTCTCATCAGATTCAGTGACACTTATGTGATCATGACATAAGCTGCTCTTACAAAGAAACTTTCACTATTTTACATCACTTATTCACTAATATTTTCATTCTTCAATCATCTTCTCTATCATTATCATTATTGAATACTATTGTCTTATTCAAGATTTCTGTCTCTTCTTCTGTTCAACATCTTATATCTGTTAATCTGTCATATTATATGCATTTCTAGCAATAACTCTCTGTTCTCATAATAAGCATTATTGTAGACTTGTAGTGCTTATACTGAGCAGTTTATTAGCAGTATGTATAATATATTATAAAATATGATCAGGACTTGTTTATCTTCTAACAATCATCAGAATATATTATTATGAATGACACATTTTCTTCATCTTCTTATACACTCTTGCTCTTCTTTCTCATCAGGTATCTGATCATGTTTTCTAATTATATGTGAATGGAGATACTGATGTGTTTGTTTTTATTTACATAGAATCTTCATATGTTGAGAGATTCACACCTGTCAATGTTCATGATCTCAATGTTAAATCATTGATTAAGAACTTGAGAGACGCGATAATAAAGAAATTGTCTGTGCTATGTGTGATCAGATCTTTTGTGTCTTTCTCTGCCTCTTCTGCTACTTCTTTTCAATCTTCTACACTTGCTTCTGTGTTCCATTCTCCCGCTTCTGCTACCTCTGTTTTTACTACTCTTACTTTCACTACTTCTGCTCTCACTACTTCTGCTTTCTCTGCCTCTGCTACTTCTGCTGTCATTACCAGCTCTTCTCATTTTAAGAAGATGTTGTATAGGCTTGATAAATCATGTTTCTTAGTGTGTACACTCTTACTCTTCTTATCAACTTCTAGAATAATTTATTGTATGAAGACTATATATAATACAACTAATTAATGCTCAGTTATAGATATTAATTATTATATTTATTTTAATTATTCATAGTAAGATAATTATGCATTAAATTAGAGAATTACTTCTCTTCTTAAGAGTGATAAGAGTATAAGTCTTTTCTTTTCATCTTCTTTTCTAACATTAATTTTTCTAGAGAAAATTATTATGAGTTTTGTCATATATAAAGTTATAATGTTCATGAACATTAAGAAACTTTTTACAACTGTTACATTTAATATTGCAGGTATATTCACTCTGATGAATATCTTCAGAATAATTAATCTATATCAGTCTATTCTCTAGTGTTTATCATCTGACTTCATGATACAGATGAAGAATATTCATGTTTTTAGAAAGAAGAATGTGAATGTTATACTATTTTACACTCACAGATATGAGACTTATATGTCTTATCTAAGATATTATTATAAGAATAAGGTATTTATACACTGTATTCTACTTTCTGTATTACTCTGTGTCTCTCTCTCTCTTTCTGAGAAGTCTTGTATATGTTGTAATTACATATACAACTCTAAGATTATTGAGTGTTTATTCAGGAACTATTCTTATCTCTGATTTTGTAATTATCATACACTAATAATAATTCTTAGTTGCTTTAGTGTCAGAGACTATTTTAATCAAAGATAATAACACTGCTGAGACTACTCTCTCTCACTCTTAAGCTTCTTATATTATTTTCTCTTTCATCATCTCTTCTGTGAGTAAGGTCATGTACACTTCAGATTATAAGTGTTCAGCTTCAGATAACTTCTGTCATTATTTATTCAGCTCTGTATCTTCTTATTTTTCTATTTCTTTCATCTTTATCTTCTCTACTCTGGCTTTTAATTCTGCGGGTCTTATACTCTTCTTCAATTTTTCTACACACATGTATACACATTTCTATATTGACATTTTAGTTAATCTTGTGATAAATGATATTAATATCATACACAGAGTGATAGAGAAATAAGAGATATATATAGTGTTATTACAAGAGCTGCTTACAGCTCTTAAATCTCTTACAGATCTTGAGTTTTGAGATTTTCTTTGTTTTTGACATTTTTCTTTTCAGGTGGCATAGTGTTGAAAATAGATTAAACATATGATGTATGAAAATGAATAATATATATATGATAACATTTGTCTTTTTTACAGCTCACTATGACAGTTGATGATTAATTCATCATTCATTATTTCTTTTCTCTTCTTATGCTTTTTCTTCGTCTGCTAGTTACTACTCTTACATGATCTCTATATAATACAATATTCAGTGACTAGATTCAGCAGCTTTTATATGATCTCATGCATTATACTGTCTCTCTTCACATGCTCAGACTACTATAGTAAATAGCTCATTAAAACTAATCTTACTTAATCTCTGAGCATTCTCAGAGATCAAGATAGCTTAATTTCACACATCTATGAATGTTTTAGATGCTTTATTCTCTGTTGTCTCTATGATTGAACTGATGTAAATAGTTGAATTTAACTCTGAATTTCTTTTTCTTCTGTAATCTGACTCATGTACAAGTCTGCTACTTTGAGACTGCTCTTTACTATGCTGTACCTACTGTCTGCAGTGCATTATTATATAACTGACTACAGTCTTATCACTTATTAAAGTGTGATATTTATCTGATTTCTTCATTACTTCTCATTCTTTTCTTATAATTATGAAAAGAGCAGAATAAGTGAGATTATCTGATTCATAAGAATCTATAATTTCTCTTACTTCATAAGACTTTTTAATTATAAGTCTCTTCTTTTTTAATACTGATAATAGTGCTGTAACTGATTATAATTCACTCAAGTCTTACATCTTCATCTTTATAAAATGTGAACTATTTATTAAGTTGTATAAGACTTATTTCTCTAATTCCTTCAATGCATATATTCTCAGAGAATGTAATTTAAGTATTTTATAGAGCTTAAACTATCTAGGTTGAAACTTCTCAGAACTCTCATTGTGTATAAGAACTCATATTTTCATCTTAAGACTCAATTTCTTAACTAGTGAGTCTTGTATTCTTTTTGACTGAATTGCTTGATTCAGAAGCAACTTATTAGCTTTTACATGTATGTGGCTGATCTCTTGCAATCATGATTTCATGTCTATAACTGCTGTGTCTGTGACTGTTGTATCTGCAATTTCTGTTCTCTTTCTCACCTTCTTCAAAGCATTCTCTGAGATGCGCGGATGCAATTCATACAACAGATAGAATGATAAACACTCGAAGACTGCATGCTGCTGAATTCGCGTGGCTAATAACACCTGACTGAGATATTCATCTTACAATCTTATAGACTTGCTTATTAGAATTTCACTTAAGTATTTCATCTTCCTGTTTATTCATGAATAGTATAATGTTGTTCTACAATATCTTGTCTGTATCTGACTTATGAAATACCTCATCACTTCTTCTACAAGGTTCACACTGTTATTAGTTAGAATCTCACATGATATTTCATAGTTACTATAGATCTCATCATGTAGAAACTTTATTATCATCTTCTCTATCATCTCTGAAACTGCTTTCATGACTGATCAGTTAGTAGCATAGTCAATAGCAGTGATTATTCAACAGTTTTCATTTGATATTTGTGATAATATATCTATGAGATTTATCTCTCATTATTTAAACAGTTGTATTGTACATTTTATCTGATGTTATACTGTCTTACATTCTAACTCTTTCTTAGATTCTTTCATAATCTGATAATTCAGACCCTTATAAGTGTACATCTGAATGTTCTGAGTCATGCTTGACTAGTACACTCTTCATTTAAGTATACTCATGAGTTCAGAGATTTCTAAGTGACTGAATTTCTTGTATATATAAGTTATTAAGTTACATTTAAATGTTTCAGATAGAGAGCTTCTACATATTATAGATCACAGTAAAGCACAGTATTATTTTTCAATTTTCTCAGCTTGAAGTTCAAAAGCATCTCTTCTACTACTTTTGTAAGATACATATTATTCAATATCTTGCTATTTTTTAAGCAAGAGATCATTGTATTCACTTATTCTGATTTCTTATATTCTCTCAGTACATTTGACATGAACTTCTGTTATATCTAATTCACAGAATTCTTACTCATGAAATTGAGTCTGTGACTGATTATATTAGATATTACAGTGTCTGATCTCTTTCAGTATTTAATATGAAGATTATATACTTAGAACTCTGAGATTCAATATACTAAGTGTTTAAAAGATTTCATTATTAATTATAGATAGATAAGGCATTTGTGATCTGTGATTACTGTTGTTATATATCTGTTATTAATATATCTATCTTATAATATCAGTATATATGTGGCGGGCTGCGCCTGATCAATCATATAGACTATTTCATTACACTTCATAGATTCCGCTGAAAGCTCCGATTCTCGGCCATTGTCAATCGCCGATCCTCCGCCGCCATGAACACATATAAATTCTCCCGCCCCGAAGCTCCACTGTGTACGCCATCACATATGTGTATAAATATTCACTTCAATTGCTGATTCTTGCACTTTCTCTTGCTTTTTCTTCTTTAACATTTTTCACTTTGTATTATAAGACCTATATATTATACTGATCTATTCAGTGCAGACTTCTTACACTTGAAAAATGTTTATTATCTTCTCATTAGAAACAATTATTCATTAAGAAGATATCTAAACATGTAACAATATGTAAGAAATAGAAAAATGATTAAACAGTTAAACAGACACTGAGTTCTTAAATAGAAGCTTACTCATCAGTTACTCTAACTCTGTAATAAGATCTTACAAAGAGAATATCAGTGAAAGATCTGAGAGTTCTAATACTCTAAATATATGAAATATTTATACAATTACACTTCTTCAGATTTCACAGTTATCACATATTAAATAAACAACATATGTAATGACAATATAAGAGAACTTATAAATATAAGTATAGACATAATATCACAGTGACTCTGAGCAATATTGAAATTACAATAACAATAAATAGCTGACATGCATGTGACTTAACAACTTTAATACAAGAAAATTCAACAATTAACTTATTAAGAAACTCACACAATTTCAATACTAACAGAATTGAATACAATACAAGCACTGAAAGAATGCTTAGATACTTCTGTATATTTCAATACTTCTGATCTCACTCTCTACTCATCATGAAGATTGAAAATGCTTATGAATCTGAGTGTAGATGAAGATGTTATCAGTTCACTAATTAATCAATATTGATATATCAATGAATAATTGAAGAATCATATAAAACAGAAGTTTTATTTATGAATGAAAGCATATGAATCAGTATTGCAAACATCTGATAATATTATTAAACATCTTAATATTCTGTTTCAAGACACTGTCACATAACAGAAAGTGTTAAATTAATTACAGAGTACTTAACAGAGAAACACTGCTCTCAGAACATTCATCACTGACTTTGACATCAAGATTTCAGAAGCAGATGATTAATCTTGAAAGAATTAAATGAAGATTAGCATTCTCAAGAAGACATTAACTTTTAAACTCTTACAGACTCTTGTAAGTGTAAATGAAGACTTAACTTATGAAGATTTCTGCACACAACTTCAGACATTGAACAATCATCTTATCAAGCTCAAGAGTATACAGAACAGTGGTAGAAGATAATACATCTCAGTCACTTATACACTGATATCTGTGCTGAAAAATAATATCAATGATGTAGATGTCATGAACTGAGTAGACTTGAATATCTATACATAAGTAAGTGTCTCTGCTGTCTGAACTGACTTCAGAGTTTCTGAAATCACTTCTGAAGAAGTCACTGATTGATGTCAATATGAGATGTACATCAATTATAACTAATCAGAACACATTGCTTTCAACTACTGATTAATCTATATATCTTCTCACTCAAGAGAAAGATCAGTACCTTCTCACTTAAGGAATGAATCAGTGTCTGTCTCTATCAATCACATTGCATTTGAATTGGAATAGATTTCTTGATTGGAATGAAAATAATTCTTCAAAGAAAATGCCTTCTCAACTGTACAGACTATGCTCACTGATTAAAAATCAATTTTCTTCTTTAAATGTTGACAAAGTTGATCATGAGAAGTTATCTCCCTGAAGAGAAAAGCTTGAATCTCTTATAAACTTGCAAATAAGTGAACTATCTAAAGAGAAAGAATATGAACAGCATTTGAAGAGAATATCTACCATCAATATAAAAGACTCTATTCTGATTTATTCAGGTGACTTAAAAAATGAGAATTTGAATAGATTAGGCGCAGGCATTGCTTATACTGAAGATAATATTAATTTTATCTCAGATTTCTGGAATTTAGGCTGTGAATCTGAAGTCTTTGATGCTGAACTATTTGCAATAGTGAAAGCTTTCAAACTTATTAAAATAAAATCTCATAAAAGAGAAAATAGTTTGAAAGAGGCATGAATATTCTCTGATAGTCAAGCTGCTTTAATAAGACTTAGAAATAGTTAGATTTATAATAATCAAATGAATCTTGAACTGATCTTAAACTCTGTTTTAAAAATTCAAAAGAGAAGAATATTAAAGCTGATAATTCATCTGCACTGAGTTCCTGCTCATATGAATATTCATGACAATGAATTGACTGATTCAGCTGCAAAAAAAGGTTCAGAATTAAGCAGATCTATTCAAAAAATTGTGTTCTGATCTTTTATAAAGAGAAAAATAAAAGAATCTTGTTTAGACAAGTGAAATGAAAGCTGACAGAAACAAAAGAAGAGTATACATTATTCAAGACTTGAAACAAAACCCAAGTGAAAATCTTGTTTAATTAAATGTAAAAACAAAATATTCTCATCTATAATACAGCTGAAATTAGAACATGACTATTTCAAATCTTATATACAAAGATTTGATGATAGATTTGATTCAATAGAATGCTCATTCTGCAATGCAAATGAGAATTCTGAGAATATTATAATGCACTGTGCATTATACAATAGTCTCAGAGTCAGATTGAAAGAGAAGTATGATCTAAATCAATTAAATTTAAGATTCTTATTCTCAACTGAGACAGGAATTAAATACTTAATAGACTTTCTATCAGAAACTCAAGCAGCTACAAGAAAATGACTGAATTCAGAAATATCTGAATATGAAGAGAAGGAAATTGATCAGATATAGTCTGTTAAAACAGCTATATACTATCTTTTGATAATTTGTTTCATTACAGTCTCTCTTTATTTTACTTTACTTTTTCCTTTCTATTCTTTTCTATCTATCTATTTAATGTGTCTATCTTTAAGACTGTGTTCTCTTTTCTTTTGTCATGATATTGTCAAATGATTTCAAAGTATCAGAAGATGTTAAAATACTGCAATTTGTAAACAGTTTTTGTATTCTGAGCTGGAATTTTCTGATTTTGCATATCTGAAATTGATGAATGTATAATAGTTAACTTTATAGATATAGGAAAAACCCTGGGAACTTTTAGTTCTCAGGTAGATGTCATAGTCTCTGACTGTATACATCTATAATTGAAGAAGAATAATAATAATAATAATCACATTGCATTGAAGAAAGATTTGAGACATAACTATGAAAACACTCTGATGAAACGGGGAAAAGATTAGCTTCTGTTCAAATTTGTAAACAGAAGCTTGAAGAGATCAGATAACAATGATTTGAAGAAAAGAGAGCAATGAATACAATTCTTATATTTACTGTAATAAATAATATGTATAATATGAAGACTATAATAGATAGCAGTCTATGTCACTATGCAATCATTAAATCTTCAGTTATAAGATGTTATAATCTTCAGTGTATTCTCTTATCAAGACCCTGAGTCCTCACAGAATTTGATGACTTAAAAGACATTTGTATTCATTACATAGTGAAGTTAGTAATAGATGTTGAAGAACATCAATGTGAAGATGCCTATGTATATAAAGTTGATAATCTCAATTATAATCTTATATTAGAACTTGTCTGACTATCTGAATAAGGTATCTTATTAAACACTTGAAACGGAAGCTTGATATTCTCTAACAATGATAGAATTCATGAAGATGACATTCACAAAATCATGAATCTGACACAGATCTCTGTCAACGCATATGAAATGCTCTGAAAAAGAAGTTGCTAACAGAATTGCTAATAGCAGAATTATGTGAAAATCTACTTCATCAGTCTGATCAATATTAAAAAGGCTCTAGAAAAGTTATTCTGTGTTATAATAACAGATTCTTGTATGAAACTTTCTCAATAATATCATGAATATCTAGATGTCTTCTGACAAGATAATAATGTTACAAATCTACCTCTCTTATGAGGTTCGGAAGTGAATCACAGTATTAAGTTGAAAATGAAGAATGATAAAGACTCTGAATTATTATGAGACTCTCTTTATAATATGTTCTGAGATGAACTTCTTCTTCTTTGAAAGACACTCAATAATCTGTTGAATAAAGAATTCATATATATTAGTAATTCCTCTGCTGCGGCTTCTATTCTCTTTGCAAAGAAATCAGATGAAGAACTCTGATTCTGTGTGAACTATTAAGAATTGAACAGATTAATTAAGAAGAATCACTATTTCTTATCTCTGATCAATGATACTCTAGCTCACATTGAATAAGTTCAATGATTTATAAAACTAGATATTATCACTGTGTTTCATAAGATCTGTATCACTGAAGAAGATAAATAGCTTACAGTATTTCAGACATATTATTGTAAGAATAAGTGCTCGCAGGCGATTATTCGGGTGTTTGTAGCTTGGCGTGATATCTACTG